ATAATAATTTCTTTATTCGAGCGCTTTCCCATGCGGGCGCCGACGTTGGGAATCGGCGGTGCTTTCCACCCCCTTCCCGTCCCCCTGCAGAAGGACGCTCGGTGCACCGGCCCACCCTCCTTCGCTCCAATCAATTATTTAGCATCGGCGCCGCTCTCCGTTACGAGATAAATATTCTGTCTATGCGTAATACGAAACTACTCGAAACGGCGACAGAGGGTTGACGCGCGAGCGTTCCCATCGATTACGTGTGCGCGTAACAACAGTTTCCCGAAGACATCGGGGACCAATCTCGGGCGAACGGCGCGGAACTGCCCTTTGATTCACTCCTTTTGCGAGAAAGCCGTCAATGTTCATTATACGAGTTCAGAGGAAAAGTGGATCAAGTTCATTTTTGTTAATTGTTAGAAAATCAGTTCTAAAATTGAAGTTGTTCTAATTGTGTGCCATAGTTTCTTTTAATTTTAACTCAAACATTTGCACGCACTTTAAAATCGCTCAGTGAAAACCGTTCAGTTTTTTGTAATTTATACATGAATGGGAAAAGGACTTGGTTTATTTTTTCTCTAAATCCCTCATACATGGCTGAGAAAGAGATGTTGTTTTAACGGAGAACTGTCTCGTTGTTAATATTTTGTTGAAATAACATTCAGATGAATTTTTTCAAAGGATAAACAAAAGTCGTGTTTTTTTTTCAATGTGTCATCGCGACGCGACAATTTCGCGGGTCGGTCGAGAAACGCGAGTAGTGATAAAAGTCGGAGAGTTTTGAATAAAAAATGCCGCCTTTCAAGGGCCACGCGTATACGCTTGGTTTTTCACGTCAACACGTCTCGCTGGCTGCCGCTGGTGAACGGTCAACCCACGTTTTTCTTGTATATCTCGCTTTCCTCTCTCGCTTCTCCCTTTCTCTCTCTTCCACCCGCGCTTTTCACTCGCACGCTTTTCGTGCGGGGTTTATACCAGCTCCAAAGGGTAGCATGAATTATTCGGGCGGCGGTGAAAACGTCTAAGTGACACATGGACGCCTGACACTCAAATTGATCCTCGATCGGGACGCACAGATCGCGCCGGAGGACGCAACTACGTTGCGATAGTAGTTCTGGAAAGGGACCAATTTTACAGAAGGTGTTGCAGAAATGGCGGAAGAAGACGAGAGAAAGGGAGCGCGAGGGAAAGAGACGATCGTATGAGGGTAAAGGCCTCGTGCATAATTCGCGAAGTCTCCGCGAAATCGTGTTAATCTGGCGTTCCGGATGCGCGGATCAATTTGAATCGAGGACTACGCCCGTCCGATGGTAATAACAATAAATCGTTTTAGCTCGAAAGGCTCGTCGCAAGGAAGGATAATTTTAGACACGAAGGAGAACGGGATAACTGCGTTTAAAGGTTAATTAAATTAGGCTGCCAGTACCTTCGAGTGCGCCGAGAAAACGCGAGCGAGCAGCAGGCAACACCTCGCCATAAGCGAGCGCGCGCCTTTTTCCGCGAAAGCAGGTATTACTTTGTGGCATTAACGTCCGCAGCTTGGTCTTACGCGCTCGTGACGACATTTTTAACGCTCACGTCGCAATATCCATTTCCCAGATGTAACGGCGCGATCGTCTTCGGTTCCGGGTATAAGCGTCGGTAGGTGTTTATTTTTTTCTCGCACTAATGCACACTTGCGCGTACAGAGTGTCTCCATAAATGTTAATTCTATATTTCCGAATAGTTTGTCACTGTAAATTTTTAATACAATAAACCGTATTAAAATGTTTTATATCCAAAAAGAAGTCACAATTATTCTATAAATATATGAAAAGATTATTTTGTATTTTTTATTCTCATTAATTATTTATTTTGTAATTTTAAAGAAACGAAGAGATAAAAATCCTTTTGAAAAAAAAAACAAAAAAATAAAAATTTTATTTCACGATTAAAATCGTGCAAGTTTGGTCAAAAATATTGTTTTTCGGAAATATAACTAAAAGCAGATTTTTATTATAAAATTTTGAAGTTTTATCCGTTCAATTTAAAATTGGACAATATAAGAAAATTATTAATTAAAATTTTTCAATTCTCTTAAGTTTACTTAACAATATATTTCTGGCAGAAAAAAATCGACGTCGAACACAGTATTCTTTCTGAATGCATTTTGATAACAACTGAATCGTAGAGATATCGACCTTTTCTTCTGAAACATCCTGTACACATTGTAATGTGCAATGGCTTTCCTGGGGCTTAGATCGTGTAAGTACACAGAGGCGGCGAACTGGCGTAATAATACGCGTCTTGGCCATTAAAAAAGTGCAAGCTTTGCGAGGCGACGTAATGCAAAAGGCGAGAGAACGTATACCTTAAACCGCCGGTCACTTGCTCTATGTGTGCGGCAAATCATTTTGTTGCCGTATTACAGCAGATACCGCAATGTTTATTGCGCAAACGCACCACGGCACGTCGCGGATAGCCCTCAAATGAATTGACGATCGAAATATTCTTGCGCAGCGCGGCGCGTTTGCACGTATATCGTCGGTTTATCGGTTTTCTTGGATCGAGTATTGCGCAAGGCACGCATAAAATTTGTAATACCTCTTCAACCCTCGATTACACGATTTTTCCATTTTCTTCTCGTAGGTTGAATGTATTATAATAATAGAAAGACAATTAAATATGTTCACAAATGCAAAATTCACGATTAAAAAAAAAGGGTTTCAATATAAATTTGACATATTAGAAAATTAATGTATAGCAACAATTCTTTTTTTTTTATGCACAAGATTACCTTAATTGATCCAGTCTTGCATTCTGCAAGAACAAATTAAATGTCTTTTTACGGTGGAGAAATTTGATATAGTGAACTCAGTTGTGCAGTTTCTTCGGGAGCACGTTTCCTCTCTCGTTTGGTTAAAGAGGAAAGATATACGTCTTCCCGACGTGGAAAATGGCGGGTCGAGCTTGTCGACAGTCACCATTTTAAACGGGCTCATATAAAAGGACGCGCCCGCGCATTTACGCGGGTCGGACAGCCACCCCTACAGGGTGGTGCGACTAATCGATCGTTCGTAAGGAACTTCCCGGTAAGAGATATCGACCCGCCCCCTGAGAGAAAGATCTTGGCGTGCACCTCGGAGGATAATTAGATGACGTTGAAGACTTGGATAACAATGGAACAGGATTATTGGATAATAGGTCATAGCTCGTCGTCGTAGCCTCCCGCGGTCTTCGTTTTGTACTCGGAATTTAGAATTAATAAACGTTGATGAAAAAAGATACCCTTCTTTTTTTTTAATAGAACGTTTCGCTTATACATTAAAGAGACGCAACTGCTGCTCCTGCATTCTCCTCATGGCGTCCATGATACGATAATACGACGGGGCGAATAAACGCGAAGGGGAGAAAGAGAGGGAGGAAGGGAGAGAGAAAAAGAGAGAAAGAGAGAGAGAGAGAGAGAGAGAAGAAAACAGTAAGAATATTCTTCGTAATTAAGTCCCGCCGCTTGCACGACTTGATGCGGCGCGGCGCGTCGCTGCAGCGAGACGAGGACGCGAGTCGACGGCGGCGGTGGAACGAGCGAGCGCGGGAGAGTCATAAGGATAGTCCAAGCGGAGAACGCGGCGGGAGAAGAAACGCGCGAAGGAAGAAGCGGCGTGGAGAGCGAGCGAGCGAGAAACGAAGGAGGCGAAAAAAGGAGGCACGACGATCGAGCAATAAATAATACAGGGGGAAAAAGGCGATCGCCTGCAACATTCTGCTCAAATGTTAAATAGGTATCAATTTAACGGCGACCAATGCGCGCACCCGTGGGCGTAGAGCGCCGTCGTGCGATTGGCCGTGCAGCCGACGGTGGGCAGGCACCGGGGGCGTCCGGACGCCGGCAAGTCGGCGACGCGTCGCGTCGTTCTGGTAGGGATAAACCACCTGGTTCCGCCGGTTCCCTCACAACGTTCCCGTCTCTCTCTCTAGACGCGATCCACCGATCCGGATTCACGCACTCGCAACCGGCACACTCCAAAGGTGGTTAAAAAGCCAAGGGTCCGAGTTTTTCGGGGAACGGCCGGACCCCCAGTTTCGGCAGTCGCGCGAGCAACCTGTTATGTTTTGCACGAGGTGCGAAATCCTGCGGTTTTTGTACAGTGCT